GTGGCCCGGCTGTGGATTCCCAAGATTCGGATTGGGAAACACTGTTGTGCAGGGAAAGTGACCTGGATGGATGAATGGATGGATGAGAGCATGAGAAGGAACCTGCAGCACAGCAGCAGGGGCTGCTTGGTGCTCGGTGGACTGAACCCTGCCTGGTTTCCACCATGTTATGCAGCCTGTGTTTTGAGCTCCCATGACAACCTGATATGTGTGCATTATGGGGGGGTTGGGGGGAGGCTTGGACCAGCTCAGGTTTACCATGCCTTTGACTGTTGCTTTTGAAGCAGCGACTTTTCAGTGTGTGTTCTGCAAGGTCAGTCCTTATCCTGTACTTATTTATCTTAGCATGCACCAATATCGCATCCATGCTAAATGACTCTACATTTGGTGGGGGCGTCTTGTATATATTTAAGTGCGGCCATTGTAAAAATGGCTTTCTTCCTGTTGTTGTTGTTTTCGAGCAGGGTGATTTTATTCGAGCCTGGGGAAACGGAATGGTTTAAATGCAGATGTTTTTTACTGTAAACAGGCGTACAGGAACACTGTTAGCCTTGTAGGCGGGGAGAGAGATTGAGTGCGGGTTTTCTTTCAGGCAAGGGATTAGTACAGAAAATTAGCTGGAGGATGAAATGTACAAGACTAAGTAAAGAACAAAAATCAGAAACACTGACGTTATAGAAAACGCCGACTAAGAGCAGGAGGCTCCTCATTCTTTTGACAAATTTTTAAAAATCTTATGCATCAAAATGAATTGTCAAAAATTTGCTATGTTGTGCAGCAGTATGCTTGTTGTCTCACTTGTACGAGCTTGTGATCAGAAGGCTGCTGGTTCAAATCCCAGGCTTGGCTGCGTGATTTTGCCATCGGTCTACTAACCCCCAGTAGCTCCAGGGACTGTCTGACCCTGCTTTCACAAAAAGAATGTAAGTTGCTTTGGATAAAAGCATTTGTTAAATAATGAAAATTGTGCTTTAATTCTTCCTAAAAGGCATGGATGTGAACAATGTACAGTGTCCTCATGTTAAGCGAAGCAGACCATGTAAATGTTCAGCATTCATTGTGACAGTCACATGATCCCCCATACTCCCCCCCCATTACTGTTTTCTTGTTTTTCCCCGCCCCTCCATTTTCTTAAGTGGTCATCCAAAGGTCAGTGAGGTGAGCGAGTGGCTCTATGACGGTCTGCGCCCTGGTGAGCCCCTGCTTGTGCGAGGGAACCCAATCTAAGGGTCTCAGCCTCGACTGCCAATACCATCCTGGTTGTAATGAATCAGGTCCTCCTTAGTGCGATAATGTGATCAATTTCTCATTTCGCTGAATAAATATGCGTGGCGGTAGGGAGCTGTCTTTGACCTGCCGTTAACCTCCCGCCTGATCATTCATAGGCCGGCTGGGGGGACTGAACTGGGGGGGGGGGGGGTTTCAAACAAGCTAATAATTTGTCAGAAGTGTCTGCTGCATTGAATTTCTTATAGCAAGAACGCCACAGGGCTCACGTCACAGTACTGTACCTGCAATGGGGTCCGTGTAATGATATGCAAAATGCCAGTTTGTCCAATTGTGTGCTATTTTATTCTATTGTGTTGTGAAGCGTCTTTGAGTGTCTTAAAATGTATTATTATTATTATTATAGTAGCCTCACACCTTTCTGTTCTCCCCGAATGTCCTTAATGTTCCTCTTTCTGCTCACTGAATAGCGGTCTTATAAGGTTCTTGCTTTGTTATGAAGATGTGTAGATCTTGTTCTAATACCATTTGCACCTGTATCTGGGAATTCACTGGAAGCTCAGCCTAGCTGCACTTATTCAAAGTTGCCTAGCATGTATGTTTGTAATGCATTTGCCTCACTTTGGACAAATGCATCTACTAAATAAAAATAAATGTAAATACTGCATATCTGGCATAAAAAAAATCCTCTGCCTGGTAAAAACAGTAACCCTTTAACACCGCCGGTGTGCCCAAGGAGAAGAGCGGCCCTGTGCGCAAAATCCATAAATGCGATTTCTGAGCGGCAGCCTTTACATTATTAACATCCCGATCTTTAGTTACCCTTCGCTCAGTGCTGTTTTTCCACCCGCTGTCACGGTGCCGAGCAGAAACACGGGCGCATGTGGCAGAGGCTGGCACGCGGGGAGCTGCGTGTGGCATGCACCCAAGCCTGTTGCAGGGCATGCGACACGACAGATCCTTGTTATTTATTTGTGGCTTTTTTTTTTCTGTATGTCACCCGCCCGAGATGGCTTACCTCGAACGTGACATGGAAACAGGCCTCTTCTGTTACGAAAAGCCCTGGTTTTAGCTTACCTCCCCTGGGCCGGCTAACCTTAATCACATTAATGGCCGCATTAAAATGCCGCTAATTTTACCCGACTAACTGCTTGCGTTTCCATTAAATTTGAGCAGGCAGGCATTTTTAAGTAGCTGGAAGCTAAGCTGCTGTACTGTTACACCTCAGATCTATCTGAAATCTGAGTGATCGGATACCCCTCTGATTTGAGATGTTACAAGAGAGCCATCTCGCTACACGTAAGGTATGAAGTGTTAGTGGAATGACAGGTTTTTGCAGTTTTTTCTACACTGCAGTCAGCTGTTGACGTGTTCATTAGCGCCCTGTCCTCAGAACCTTGGGATGAGATAGTCTAGCTGACTTAGAGACTGCAGCTAATTATATTAATCATCAATGGGTCGTCGATGGCACTATGACAGTGTTGGAAACTGCTGTCCTCAGCCCACGGCTGATTGTAAGCTGATTGGCCCTCGGAGTGCCCCTTCCCCTGTCAATCACAGATTCAAGACATATAATTGGATAATGATACGGTTCATCCTTCTGTATGAATTATGCCTCCCAATAAACCGGAATGTCCCCTGCTAAAGCCCCTGTATATGAAGACGCTGCCCCTACAGGATGCTTTGTTTTAAACCTCATGTTTCCTATATTAATATTTATCTCTGCTTCTGCTTCTAGTGGTGAATGAACATGCCCTGGGGTTACAGTGCCCCCTGGAGAGATGGGTAGTGCTGGCATTTTGCTGAGCAGGGCCATTCCCATTGGCCGACTTCGGTCTTGCATACTGGGATGCATTATGTGAACCTGAGAAGAGGAATTCATGAAAAGTGTAAAGATGACTAGCTGGACCTAAATTTAGCATTTGTGGGAGTGCACTGGACATGGCTCCCTGCCTGCAGTTTGCTTTGGCTGGGGGGCGGGACTGGCAGAGCCCCGGCTCACTCGTGAGGGTGCAGCTGTGTGCCATCACTGCAGTGCGGGCTGCACGCCCTGCCAGTTGGGGGGCGGGGGGGTGGGGGTGTTGAGGCAGTGGCCACCTGGTGTTTTAATGAATGAAAGGCAGAGTGGGGGGGGTGGGCTAGTTAGGATAAAAGACATTTCAACAAAAGAACATGGATTGTGTTCTTGCGTAAGGCCGGTGTACGATTGTCAGTGTAGTGGTGATTGTGAAAATGTTTTTCCCAGCAGCCCCAGCTGCCCTCGACATTCATGGGGTCTTGTTCCGGTGAGGTGGCACCGGGAAGTCAGGGAGTGTAAATCCCCACGCCGGGTATCTGTGTGGGTGGCCAGTCTAAGGTCCAGAGCATGGAGGCTTTTGGGTGAAGCCCTTTTGCAGCTTGCTGAACAACAGCGGCCACGGGAATTTTGCTCCTATAAACGGATAATCAGAATTACAGCAAGACGTGGGGGGGAGGGGACATGGGTGCAGAAACGTCGTCTATTTAGAATCGGCGAGGAAAATATGTACAATAAAACGCTTTCTGCTGAATCCATGGAAAATAGCTAATTGAAAAGTAAAGCAGTGCGCCTGCTTTCAGCCCGGCCAATCAGAAAGCGGCATGCAAAGAGGAATGGCGGCCAGCTGGTGCACAGGGAATGCGGCGGTCGCGAGCCGAGTGACTGCCACGACCCCCCTCCTCTGTGAGCAGTAAGAGGAGTCCGACGCACTGTCCTCCATCCAGTGGAAGCAGCAGAAGGTGCTGGGACCCGACTGTGCCCTCCGACATGTGCATCTACTGAGTTATTTTGTTTATATGTTTTAAGTGTGCTATGAAAATACATATTGGCATTCATGTTGATCATAAACATATATCATGTTTCCCTAATTCTCTATCAATTTATCTCCAACAAAACCTTTTAAGACCCAAAATATAGTTATTATTCCCATGCAAAAAAAGTAACTGGGAGTCATGGGAGTTGTTATTGTGATGCCGCATTGTTTAACAACCACAAGCATTTTTGTTGAATACACTCACACAGTTTGTCTGGAAAAGGGTTCTTTAATTAATGGTTAGCTAAATTAGTGAAATGAACATGTGTGCTAATGTTTGTTTCAGGTCCTGCCCTGATTAAGTGACGAAGCAGAGCTTGATTTTCACCTAATATTACTGTAATCTATTTTATCGTGAGTGCTTTCAGTAAATTCCATTATGGGACAGACAAACCCAGAAGTGGTGTGTGTGTATGTATGTGTGTGTGTGTGTGTGTGTGTGTGTGGTCCAGGTATACCTTACCTTGTGGGGACCAAATGTCCCCACAACGTGATGAATACCCAGTTTCCTGGTCCCCATATTGGAAAACTCTATTTTTTTTTAAATCTGTGACTTCAATGAAAAAACTCTTGTATTTTGTTTGGTTACTTATGGTTATGGTTAGGGCTGGGTAGGGGTTAAGGTCATCATAATTAGCATTAGCATTTTTCCTATAGAAATGAATGAGCGGTCCCCAAAAAGATATGATCACATGACTGTGTGTGTGTGTTCTCTTTCAAAACAGTCAGGCTTTTCTCAGTCACTTTCTTCAGGCTGTCTAAGGTTTCTTTGCATGACACCAGTGAAATATCCTGCCTTCCACTCACAATGTCTGATAAAACATCTTCCATCATCTTACCTTGTACAAGTTTATGGATTCATCCAGGATTCAGAATGAAATTTATTTCATTGTTTCTTCCAACATTTTTTTCTTAGTTTTGAGAAATGAGAAATAGAATGCATTGGACAAACTCATATTTATTGCATAATATAAATAAATTATTTCCTTATTTAACAAATTTTGTGTCAGAATTACAATGTATTCTCTATTGGGTGGTCCTCTACCTGCCTGCGGTTGGGTGTCACCAGAAGGTGGCCATTCCCATGATGCATTGCATTGATATCAGTGAGCTTCTGGCCCTGTCTGATCTGGCATGGCTGTATGACTCAGGCATGCTTCTTTATAAATGGCAATGATTTATTGGAAGTCAGTGGTGTCATCACCGTTGTCCATCTTTGTTCTGTTCTCTTTACCCTTGGCAATAATATGCTACCTTTTCCCAGCATGGAAACAATGGCTGGATTATCTAAGACCAGCTGTGGGTTAATAAATTTAAAGGGTTTTTGGTGTCCATGCAGAGAGGTGTAGGGGATCCTTTACCGCCAGTGTATCCAGGGCACCTATTGATGGTCAAGCAGGAGATCAAGTTGGCATGGTGGCCAGAAGCTGCACGTCTCCTCATCTCCGTCCCTTGAATAATGTAGCTGCTTCTCTTGCACTCCACAGTCCGTTTGTTGGCAAGAAGGACCAAGATTGACAGCTGCGGGCCAAAGATTTACAGGTGATGACATGGGCTTCTGGGAAACACGAAAGCCGGATGACCGTAATAATCAGCCATAAATATCTTTTATTGTCTCTTTATGTTAAGTAAGAGACGGGTGGTAAATCAATATGCCAATTTTCCATAGGAAAAAAGGCTGAAGAAGATGTATTTAGAGGTGATTAATATTTTGCAGTAGAATAGACCATGCATTTTTCACCTTGTTCTCTGGTCCGGTGGAGGAGGGGGTAGAGACATGTTTAACGCTGGATGACAAGATTTGACAAGCACCTGTCATATTCTTAGTCTTCAAACCACTTTCTGACCCCATGAAAATCAATGTGGTAATTGCCTCGGAGCTAGGGAAAAATAATACGGAAAAACATACCATAAACAAGGAAAGTGACGTAGATTAGCAGCCCCCCAGGATGAAGCTGTCATTGACGGGCATGTTACATTACCTAGCTGAGGGAATCGCGACGGTCGTTGCCTGAGATGAGAGACAGAGTACCACAGTGCCTGAACGCAGAGAGATGGTTATGATGATGATGATTAAAAGGTCTCTTTCAGGAGCCGTCTCTAGAAGGATTCATGCTTGCTTAGTGACACGAGGTGGACAAGGGAACGGCCCTGTCAATCAGTCTCGGTGCCTTGAACACAACAGCGTAATATTTTAGACTAATCCAGCTGTTGGCAATGATGATGTGTGTAATTTATAACACTGTAGATATAGTAGGCGTGTGCCTGAAATTGTACTACTTCCCTGGACGTGCAGGGGGTGCAAAGTGAGAGTTTATATAGTAGTCTCTGCTGGCACAATGACAGCCAGCAGATGCCCGGTTATTTCTGACTGACACAACCAGTGATAGATTCATATTCACTTCCGTGGGTGAGGATTGTTTTTTTGCACTTTGTTGAGATCGATGCTGTTTTCAAATTGTCTGTGTGTAAGTGGTTTTGTTTCTTAGTTAAACTTTTGCTCATAAATGCCTGTTTTCAGAGCACTGGAAACTCTTCTGAGTCGAGTTCCTTATTGAGGTTTCCTTAATTTCTGTGCTTGAAAACCCTAAAATGAACACTCAACCCCCACCCCCCCCGCCTCAATTTTATAATGTCATACATTTTCATAATGTCATACTTCATATGCATTGAAGGAGGAAGGGGAACAGGTAAAACTGTCAGTCACGCATTGAAAAGTCGTACGCCTGCATGTTTTACAGTTAAAGTATTAAGGCTTTGGTGGAGTTTATAAGAACACGGACACAGCCAAGAGCTCCATTTAGCAGTCCCAGAAAATCCCACTTTCATGTCTATCCCCGTGAGAGCTAAGAGGCCAAAGCTCGCTGGACATGTCGGAAATCCTCTCCGAAGCAGAGGTTTCGTCTGTCTCCTGAGCACTGCACTCTCAATGGGCCTAACTTGTGCGCCTGCATTGCTGATCGATTCACTCCTCAGACTCAGAAATATCCAGAGTATCTGTATTTTGATATATTTTTAAACACCTTCTAAAACACTACTGGCACCTGGCCTATTAAGACAATGGTATGTTGTGTTGGTAAATGTTTCCAAAACCCAAGAAGGGGACCCCAACACTAGCAGGGTGTTAATTTCCCAACACTTTTCACGTGTTTTTTTCAGCAGTTTCAGGTGACAGTGCCCCTTGTGGCCCCCAGGATATTACACCGCTGAAGTTTTACTGCGTGACAGGCGTGGGGGTTTGGCCCTCTCCTCAGGTGGTCCTGCGGGCTCTGTGGGGCACCCACCAGTGTCAGCCAGCATACCGAGGTCCGCCGCATCACACTCGGGTTTAGGTGGTGGGCTGACGGAGGAGGGGCTCGTCGGCGTGCTGCCCCCAAGCTGCTAATGAGTCGACAGGAGACCGGCCGCCTGTGAGAGAGCAGATTGGTGCAGCCTTTCACGGGATTAAACACTTCTTAAGAAGGTCATGTTCTAGCCTCAGTATTATCAGTGGTCTAGGACTAGTTAATTTTCCAAAGGAAAGTATTACTGCAGGCATTATTCTGTGTCTTTGCAAGTAGCCCTGCAGTGAAAATACACGCACACCTTGTCATTTTTGCGACCTTCCCATTGACGTCTCTTTAATTGACATTGATATACGTATGTGCCAAAACACACGTGGATATTACTATAGATATTTCTGTATTCACTGGTGCCATCAACATAACCATCAGCTCAGGTATTACAATCAAACCTAATCATTATGTTATGTTATGCTAGTTGCCTCAAATTAGGGTTGTATATTTCAGTGCCTTGGTTGGATTCCCTTGTTTGACCCTAATTTGATCTTGAATCTCTTGGAATGTATAGCCTCACCCAGATTGTTAGAGTACTTGTCCACCTGGTATGTTTTGACATTGTTTAATTGGTGTTTAATGACAAAACCTGTTCGGATGTTGTGTAAAAACTTGAAACCCTGCTTTCCAGCCTATCTATAATGCAGCACTGTGGCTGCCGTTGAGGACATAATAGCCGGCATAAGTACGATATCGAAACGTTCGTCAGCTGTGTCTGGTTTCAGCTGGATCTCAATCACATTAATTGGATACCCTTGATATGGGGAGGTGGAGTCTCTATTTGGCTTATGTGTTTCTGAGAAGAGTATTAATGATTCACCAGAGTGGCTCTTTCAGGCTTTCATTCCCTCCATCCTCAAATAATGACCGGGTATTAACTGTAGTCACAGGGTAGGAGCCTCAGAGAGGTTGTCTGCCACTCAAACCCTTGGTCAAGCACCAAAAGGGGCCACAGAACTGGAGAGGCCGTATATTTGCTGTTGCGTCTAGGCTGTGGCCTATTTTTTTTCCTGATTCGGTGAATGTCTGTATTACCACCTGTTAGCAACTCATGCCAATAATAACAGGAAGGCCTTGAAATCAGTAGTGTCTCTTCTGTGTCCTGCTATCTCTCTCTTGATCAGTAAAAATGCATACATGTTTGAGTTTGTAGGTCTCGAGCTGCACACAGCTGCTTTTCATAGTGGAAGCAGAACTTGTCTGTCTTAATCTGATCTCTTTTTAAGACAAAGCTTGCATTCCTGTAACTCACATGCAAGTTTCATAGACATAAGGAACATATATGTATAATCTTTTTGTCGATCTGCTGGCTGACGCTACCGTGATTTCTCTGCTTGAGTGCATATTTGCTATCGCTGCAGCTTATACAGTGTAGGGGACTGATATCAGACTGGGAGATCTCTGTTGAATCACGAGGTGTATGGGTAGCCTTGGGATGGGACGTCAGCTGGAGATGAACGAGTCTCCCGGTGCCGGAAGCGTTCTGGTTAGATGTGCGGGCACCTGTCTCAGTGGTTGGCAGGTGTGATGTCTCAGATACCGACATCCTAACCTAATGTGTGCAGTCAGGCTGAAAGACTGTGGTGTGTCTGTATATCCTGGAGGCTTCTGAGTCCATGTCTCTGTGTGATGCTACGTTTTGGTGGCGATATGCCCGACGCAACTCTATCGGCGGTTCTGAGATGTGATCGCTTCCTCTCAGGCTTGACTTAGTCAGCCTTACGTTTCATCACTTCTTAGTCTTTTGTATCCTGATCTAATGACGCCTCAGCTGTTGGGTAATTTCCCTGAGCAGTGGACACTGACGCATCACAGTGCATGTGCTGCCCATGGTTCTCTGGGAGAGGGTGTCACATGGTATGGGGTGTCTTGCATTTTCACCGGTTCCTAATTAAAGGTTTCTTTTTGTTATTTGATGGAAATGTTATTTTTGTCCCACCACAGAAGAGACATCCTGTGTTTGGAGATTTCAGTAGTTATATGTACGTTCTCTAATACAGTCTGGCAGTCAAGATAAGTCAAGTGGGCTTTCATGTCATACCATCTATATGCAGGTATACAGTGACCCAAAATAATGTTCTCCTGGGACCACGGTACATCACTTAACAGCAGTACTTTAAGTGCAAAACACAGGACAGCGCAAAAACGGGGGCAGGACACAAGGGTTTATAAATATAGTGCAAAGTGTATGTAAGTAAACGAGAAGTAGGGAGGGAGCAGCGTAATGGGGTGGGATAATTATAGTGACTAACTAACAATAAACAGATAAATAACAACAATAAGATAAAGTGACCAGAGCCAGTTCAAGGATCAGCCTCAGTCAGCTGAGCCCAATGGGTCATTGCCACTTAAGCAGAACCAAAACTCACTCACCGTGTAGATTTGCTTGAGGCCAGACGCTAGCTGGACAGCTGCCGGTGGCCTGTAGCTACTCTGCTTCTTACAGGCTGCTTTGGTGTTTCAGCAGTCCGTTTGTATCGATTCTCACCGATGTAAACAATCTGATTAGCCGCTTTCTACTGGCTGTCACTTCAATCGCATTCAGAGCTCTGACGGAGGGGAAGGAGGTAGACAGGGATGTGGGCCGTGGGGGGAATGAGGCAGGGGTGCCCCATCTTCCCAGCAAGTGAGGAATTCAGCCCTGATTAGGGCTCCCCCCTCGGTGAATTGAACAAGACAGTTGAGCGGCTAGGCTATTAACTCCCTTAGAAAATTCTCCGTTCCCTCCAAGCCGGCCACGATATTGTGATGCGGATCGATAAGCAATCTCCGGGGTGTACGGAATGACTGCCTGATTCATTTGTCTTCCCATAACCCCCCCGCCCCCCCCACCCCACAATGGAGCACCCCAGCCCACTGACCGCCGGATGCTGATACCCCCCCCCCCCCCCCCGCCCCCATCTGTCTCCCTCCTCTCCCTCTCGCTCACCTGAGTCTGTCTTGTTTTTTTTTACCCTAGAGGGTGTAGGAATGCCTGCCTGCATCAATTCCATCACAGAAGCAGCTTTGCCAGACAGCTGTGTCTCAGTGTGATGGAGGTGCGGCGACAGGGTCGGGGGGGAGGTGCCCCATAAACAAGCACCATGCTGCAATTGAAATGATGTTTTATTGCTTTATTTGCCATTTGTAAAAGCACGAAAGCAGGTACAGGTACATTACAATCTTTGTGTTTTTTTTATTTATTTATTTATTTTTTTGCATATCCTGTCTAGCTCTTATTTTTTAAAACAGGCACAAATTGTGGTGAGTGCAAAGTTTGGGGACTGAGACCACAGTCATTCATCCATCCAGTGCCCTGACTGCATTTTTTGTGGGGGGGTTAAAGACCTTGCTTGAAGGGCCCAACGGACATTTGGCTGTTCTGCCAAGCCTGAGATCTACTAGGGATTTTGGGCCCCATGAAAGCATATCATATTGAGCCCCTAACCCAGACTAATACAATTATGTTCCAAATATATTACAGCCGCTGTCACTCAGGGGACTTTGGAATTGACCTAACCTGACCCCA